TAAAATGTATAACAATAAGTGTGAAGTAAAGTGTATGTTGAAATCTGAAAAGTCTAAAAAGTAAATGTGGCTAAGGGCGCCAGAGCCAAAGCAAGAAATTTGAATTGAATTTGAATTTGAATTTGAATTGAAATGTGTGCGAAAGTATTTCGGATCTGAGAGATCGCCTCAAACTTGTGAGTGCAATTCCAAGGCGCGCAATGTAAGTATTACTGCTCAAGTAATCTAACTATCTAATCTTGAAGTTATTATATGGATATACATGAAATTTGTAGAGAGTATATGAATTGATGTGACGAATGAATATTCTCAAATCTGAATCTGCTAAAAAGTAAATCAATTTTTAAAGTGTTTTTCTGAAAATGAATTTGTTGAGGACTCAGTCAAATAGCATCGAGGTCAAGTTTTGATTTTAAGCTTTTTTTGACTCATTCACGAAAGTGAAATGGGTATATTGGCTTTAACCGTCTTACTACTGAAACTAGAGACTTGAAAGCTGGAACATATAGTCGTGTACACCCTTGATTAATAAAGTGTTAATAATTTCCTAATACGCCCACTAGGGGCGTGGCAAGGCAGAAAATGCATGATAGTTGAAGTGCTAAATAATTGAAATTTGAAATGTTCGCGTTGACAATGCAAGACCAAAAAGATATGGTGGATATATCTACGCCTATTGGGGGAAATCGAATTTTCATCCTCTAAAGTATACGAGATAGAAATAAAATAATTTATGTATATACCAAGTGGGTGAAATGGAAAATTGATTTATCAGCGTTTGGGCTGTGAATGAGTATTCTGCAGTCGGTCATGCTCAACTGAAACGTTCAATAATTTAGGTAATGCAAGACAGTGAAATGAATGCATTTATATATGTACTTGTATATAAGTATATTTGTAGATGTGAAAGCTCTACAATAGAGCTACTGAGGTGCTCAAGCAGGCATTAAAATATATATGAAAAGTCACCATTTTTTTCTAATCTATATATTTTGGAAATGTATCTAATTATCATATAATAAATCAAATAAGAAGCATGATAATATAAAGGAAATAATTAGTAATAAAATATAAGACAATAATAAATTCAAGTAAATAAAATTTAATAAAAATCATTGATTACCATTCAACATATGCGAT